CTTTTTTATAGTAAGAAAGGGACTGGGGATGATCAATGTTGTCTTAAGGTCATGGACGAGGACATGTAAACTCCTGGACATTGGAAGAAACATTGATGACGAGAGTTTTCCTTTTATTTTTGTGTCCATGATTGAATGAGTCTTTGCACAAGTCTTTGTAAGAGGTTAGGGAACCTATGGGTAAAAAGGCATGAAGAACCCTCTTCCCTAGGAGCCTAATCCAACCAGTTCCACGTCGCTCCCGAACAGCAAAATGCATGTGAGTCCAGAGAAAGAGAAAACATGGAAAGGAGTCAGCACCCCTTGTGATGGTTGAACGGCCGGGTGGGCTAGTGCCCCTTGGGGATGCCACCTCCAATTCGAGCATTAGACGCTAAGTCGGATGTACGAATGAATGTAAGATTGGCAAATGGCATGAGGGAAAAGGAAGAAGCATGCATAAAAACCCAAAACGATGGCCGCCTTCTAACCCCCGAGACGAAATAGGATCTGTGTCCTCGAGGCCCATCCCCTCGGGCGCTAACATTGAAATGGACAAGGATGACCCTAACCAGGCTGTCCAATTGAAATGGATAAGGATGGTCCTAACCAGGCTGTCCGATTGCAATGGATAAGAATGATCCTAACTAGGCTGGTCGACTTGGAAATGGAAAGAACGACCCTAACCAGGTTGTTCGGAATGGTCCCTGACAAGGGTCATTCTTTGGAATTGGCGCTGGGGTCCCCTTGCATGGCTGCTTGAGATGCATGACATTGGAAGAGCTGAGCCTCTGAAAAGATATTGAAAAATGCGAAGCTTTGGAAAAAACATTGGAAGAGCTGAGCCTTGGAAACGACATTGGACGAGATATTGGCCTCAACTTGGGAAGAGATATTGCATTAAGCATTGGACTGAGAATGAGCACTGGACTGAGATTGAGCATGAGAATGAGACTGAGCATTGAAATTGGATTGAGTATTGAAAATTGCATTGCATAACCAGGGGACCCTAGGCAATTGGAAATGGACTTGGAAAGAGCTTTGAAATGAAATTTCTCTTTTCTTCGAGTCTTTGGCCTCAGCGAGAGGGGGATACCGGTGCATGCACCGCAACCCCAAAGACCTCTATCCCTTCGACAGAAAAAGTCTCAGCGCGACCTGTTCCTCTTCGAGAGGGTGAGGGTTAAAGGACTAAGGCACCTACCACTTTGATCGGTGCGGGATGTCCTCAACCACCTCCGACAATGAGCTCTAGTCGGGGAGTTCCAACTGCGCCTCCTGTTGAACGCCTAAACGTCAAAGGGCGAGAGAGTCAAATGGGCAGGAAAGTCATTCTCATCTAGTCTATTTTGCCACTCTCCAACCACACGCCACGTCATAGAGGGGTGGCATGACCGTTTGGGTCGGACCACGGCTGCCCGCACTAAGTTGGGCGGCACTGTCCAGGAGGGGAGGCCGGCGAGGTACCGGGTGGAGTCCGTCACCACCACGGGTCATTGACACTGCCCTGCCGGAACATTACAACTGTTTCAGGACTAATTGCGAGGTCTTCGTAACTGCACTCGCGAACTGACCGAGAGCCCCAACTCTTTTGAAAGAAAGAGGCCGGAATCCAGAAAATCACCACTCGGGAGGAACGATTCGCGAGGAACACTCTTACGGCTAGACGAGACCCTGACAGGCTTGGATTGGACCTACCTGACAAACGTGAGGAGGAACCTTGGTATCGGTGCTCGCCACGTAAGGGAACAAAGGTCGAACTGGGTAGAGGGATGAGGCGTCGTTCGTTGGGGAGGAACTGATCACACGCGATGGGGACATCGCGTTTTGAGTGGGGGGAAGGTGCGCCATCTACCAATAAATACGCATACCTGTAATTGGTTTTGCATGGGCCTGAGAAAAGATGCCTGGCAAGACGCCCCCCCCCAAAAAAAAGACTTGTAATTGGTTTGCATGGGCCTGAGAAAAGGGGAGGCCTGACAAGAGGCCGGGACAGAAGGGACTTGAGCTAGTGACATGGCATGAACTTGTGAAAAAGGGTCTGGTTGGACGACCAGGAAGGAAAGGGCTAGTATAATTGATTATAAATGGACTGGTAAGTGGAGGTAGGGTGGCGTGACTGACCTTCATGAGCTTGAAAAAACGATCCTGGCAAGGCACCTGGGAAATGAATGTTCAAAGGAAATAACTGAGCAGCGCACATGAAAATCAAGACAAGGGAAAAAGGCAAGGATTGGCAAAAGGGTGATATGCATGCGGAACTGGCAGGATCTGAGAGAAGCCGGGAAGAATGAACCAGGAAGAATGCATGTGGATTTGGCCATGCCTGAGCTTTGGGGAGAGGAAAACTGGTACTGGAAAGGTGTGGAAGTCCTAAGAGTAATGAATGAGACGAAACCAGGTTGGTGTCTTCTCGAGAATGTTTTCTCGATGAAATGGGAAGATAGATTTGAGATTACGAATGAAGCCTCCAAGACATTGTCAAGAGCGAGAAATAACGTACAATGAAAGACTAGTGCAAGACATGTCTGTTGACGGACCTCCCCAAAGGGTACTGCTAGACAACTTGATGAGGAAAGAAAGAAAGAAAGAGACATCGAGCTGCTTAAAACCCTTGACGTGTTGCTAGCTCGCACCTGAAGGAAGCCATGGCAGATGATCCTTGTGACATTCGCCGCCAAAATATTCCTCTTACCTCGGCCCCTGGGAAGGGTGATGGACTTGACGTCCTCTCTTTTGTAGGATGATACCGGAGGTTGTTGGGAAGCTCTTGGATATTTGGGAGTTCCAGTGAGAAAGAGATACAACTGTGAGACGGACGTTGATGCACAAAGAGTGTTACACGCTCGTTACAAAGACATTATTGAGCTTGGGAACGTTACACAATCCAAAGAAAACCCGAAACAAAACCTTGACCCCTCCATACCCTCCCCCGCCCCAAGGGGCGGAAACTTAAAGAAGGACCCGAGAAAAGAGTGGGAAAGATAAAAAGAACCAAGGCAAGCTAACTACTCATACCACCCCACGATTCCTCCCTCTCTGTCTATCACTCCAAAATTCCTACTGACGAGTGGGGGGAATATGTCGGGACTAGTGAGTCCCGAATGATTTCCCGTCACTCGAGAGACTGTATGTGACCAATTTGTGCACGGCAGAGAAAACCGGAGGCAAGAATGCTGGAAAGATCGAAAGCGTGCGCACGGACAGTAGGAAGCTAGAGGCTGCCCAGAGTCGTCAGGACCGCCAAACTAGAAAGGGACTGCCTAGGCAGGAAGCGGCAAAGGACTGCGAGATAATAGCAAGGGCGACTCGTTCCCCAAGGACGGAGAAGGGCCGCCGGGAAGTTGGTAGTAGCATAGGAGGTGCGCAGCAAGGGAAAGAAGAAAGTAGGAAGGGACGGGGCCCAAGGCGCTGACGTGACACGGCGCAAGAGGGCCAAGGAGGCCGCAGGTTAGGTAGGAGCCGGCACCCGGAACAGAACGGCGTGCGGGACGCAAGAGGAACGGGGAGCGGAGATTGTCGTAAGGCGGAAGGATGTCAGGAGCACCAAGGGAAGATGTGGTACCGGCGAAACAAAGTGTCGGGGACCACAGGGGACCAAGAAAAGATATGGTGCCGACGGGACAAGGCGTCGGGAATCATCTGGAAC